TCTTCCCCTGCCAGTGGGGAGAACCATACCTGAGCTTTGACTCTTGCTGGGGCAGGGCTGTCTGGTCTGCGAACAGCCGCAGGGTCAGAGCTGTGCGCAGATAGCCTTCCCAGGCAGAAGCCTGGCCAGGAGCTCAACATCCCCTGCCTTGGAGTCTACACTGGGGGCTGCGTGGTAGGGCGGGGGGCACCGGGTCAGGACAGGGAATGGCTGCGTGGCCACTGGAGCTGCTGCTGCAACTGGCTACAGCATGGGGAAGGAAGAAGGGCAAGAGGTGCCAAAAGCCAGGGCAGCTGCGGGCCAGATACAATTCTCCTTCAGAGGAGCAGCCATGGGCCAGAGAGAATCATTTGGCAGGCCAGATCCAGCCTGCAGGCCACATTTTGCCCACCCCTGCATTAGGGAGTCAGCAGCAGCTCTACTCTTTTGCTGTCTCAAAGAAGTTGTATGTCACAGCTGTATTGACAAGAGTCCTTAAAATTCATATTAGTGGGGAAGTGTGACCAGGGACTGCCATCTGCATGACTGCTCTCCTGAGACACGACCAGCATGAGTCACGTTCCTTTGAAACACTGTGGAAAAGGGAGTCCAGCCGTTCTGGGGAGAGGCTTATGAAAGGCAGAGTGCTCCCTGATATAGTGCAAAATGTGTTCCTTGTCATTGCTGGAGTTGGGGTGAACCAATAAATCAGGGACCACATCTTGCCATCAGCCCACATTCAGGATTCTCACTGGTGCGCAAGGAATGACAGCTCAATGCCCAAAACAACCTGCCTTGGACTGGACGTCATTGAGTGCCATTGGTTTTCTTACAGCTGTGCAATACAAGGCAGGAAGCATATAGCCATCCACTAAAGCCAATGAGAGTTTAACCAAACGAGAAGGGGGGACAGGCTGACACGATCCCACCCCTTTGGTGCTTGCCCCAGTAAAGGTAAAGCGTATGGCTCTTTATGGCAGAACAAGACACGCTTATTTTTAACCTTAACATGGGACTAGCTTGGCAGGTATTTTTTCTTTCATTTAAAATTAGGCCAAACAATGACAAGATGCTATTACCGAATCTGAAATCATCCTGCAGATACTGAAAGATGCAACCCTTAGAAATTTATAAATAGCCTGAAGAGCCTTAAAGCAGAACAGAAAGCAGAAGAGGTAGACTGCCATTAATTCCTCACTTACTGTTTATAGCACAGCAGAGCTTACGATGTTTCCCTCCCACCTGCCAGCGCTGCAATACCAGGAAGCATTGAACCACAAGCAAGGAGCTGGGGATCTAGAGGCCTCAAGTTCTCTTCCTGCCTCTGACACTCAGTGGCCTACATCAGCGTTTCCCAACCTTTTTCACCCCACAGCACGCTTACCTAAATAAAGAAGCACCGTAGCACACCGGACGTGGAGCAGGAGGGGGACGGGAAGGGGGTGGGGGGCGCAGCCAGCTAGATGTTGATGGGGAAGGGGGGTGCGCGGCCAGCCGGACAGCATTTTGGGCTGCAGCCACGCGCCCCGTCTGTCTGTGTCTGCAGCAGCAACAGGCGGGGGGGCCGGGGCTCCAGCCCAAAACTCTGTGGCCCGCCGGCTGGGAAACACTGGCCTAAATAGAAAATAAGGCTGCACGAAGCTTTGATCCCGGATTCAATTTGGCAGAGATTTGACCCGATTTGGTGGCCGAATCTCTGAATCAGAAGACCCTTTAATCTCTGAATCGAATCTGAACCCTTCAAATTGATTCGGAAAGATTCAGAGACTCGGACATAGACACAACTTTAACTGTTTTTTCTACATACTTCTAGGTAGGAGGGGCTTGTGAGTGCTGCGATGCTGGGGCACATGGAGTATCCCACAGGAGTGCGGGGGGCTCCCCAGTGCGCTCTGCAGCAGATCTGGAAGTGGACCAGAAGCACTTCCAGGTCCGCCGGGGAGTACACAGGGCCCTCCCTTGGTGGCCCCCCGGCTCAGCAACTGGTGCCTCCTGGGTCTGGGGAGGCACCCAGGGTCCCCCTGTGGCTGATTACTGAGCTGGGAGGGTGTGGGGGGGCCCCCCAGTGCACTCCCCGGCAGACCCAGAAGTGGACTGGAAGTACTTCCAATCCACTTCTGGGTTCACTACCAAGCATGTGGAGGGCCCCCCTGCACTCCCGTGGGACGCTCCATGCGCCCCAGCATTGCAGTGATCATGAGCTGTGCTGGTACCTCGTATGTAGAAAAAACTTTTAAAGCTGTGTCTGTGTCCGAATCACTGATTCTCCGAATCAGCATCGAATCTTCAGATTCGGATTTGGCCAAATCGAATCAGGGACACTGATCCGAATCAACGAATCCAATTCAGGCCGAATCTGAATTGAATAGGGCCCGCTTTGCACACCCCTAATAGAAAATGCACTCCTAACACTTACTGAGCAACATTTGATATCATTATTATAGCCCTGTTCTATAAACCAGGAGAAGTTAACATCCAGGAGTGAAATTCTAACTCAATGAGAGATTCCCCCTCACTCCCACTGACTTCAATGGAGACCAGCTGTCATGCAGTTTCTAAGACATGGGCTCTGAATTTGGGGGCCATCAAGATACCTTGGGCCTGATGCTCAGAGGTCATAGGGGACATCAATGCTGAGCTCCAGCTACTGTGGAGTAGCCAGCCAAGACCGGAGAAACCCAAGAGTCAGAGAAATTTGGAAAAGCTGAGACCTCAAGTGACATACCTAAGGTCCCCACCATGCCACTGCCACAAGTAAGGCTAAAACCTAGGTTTGCTAATAAAGAAACCAACAGGAGGTAGTTTACTTAATGAATTAAGGCACCTTTAAACTACTTACTACTATGTCAGCAGCTAAGGTCCCTGTGTAATGCGGAGTTGTTTGCTGTACTCTAACATGACAGACTTGCATGGGAATCCTGCATCTCCTGCCTGTATTGCCCTTCATTTCCGACTGCTCTAATTCCATCAATAGATAAGCTGGAAACCTACATGGCTACACATTTTCATCCTCCCCCGATTCAATAGTGAACGCCATCGGAATATAGAGAAAGCTACTTCTTTCTATGAAACCCAAGCCAGCCACAGTTTCTCTCAGCAGAGGGTCTTGCAATATAGTGCAGACCCCAAGCCTTCAAAACATGAATAAATGCCTCCTGCCCCCAGTTTACATTGGGGTCACATGTACAAGCTTTTCTACAATGATCACTAAGACTATATCCTTTCTTTTAAAATAAAAGCCAATTTTTTTCATGTTAAAAAAAAAAAAAAAAAAAAATCACATGACTCCAGGAACTGAGACTGGTCAAATATAATCAACTCAAGATAAAGCAGAGCTGCTAAAAGCATCCTCCTTTTTTGACAGGGCTGTCATGTGCAATTTCATCCACCACATTGTGTTCATTCCACTTTTTTTTTAATTGATATATTTGCTATCACCGAGTTTCATAGATTTCATAGATTTCATAGACATCAGGGCTGGAAGGGACCTCGGAAGATCATCGAGTCCAGCCCCCCGCCCAAAGGGCAGGAAGTCAGCTGGGGTCATAGGATCCCAGCAAGATAAGCATCCAGTTTCATCTTGAAGGTGTTCAATGAAGGCGCTTGAACCACCTCCGGTGGCAGGCTGTTCCAGACCTTGGGGGCTCGGACAGTAAAGAAGTTCTTCCTTATGTCCAGCCTGAAACGATCTTGAAGTAGTTTGTGACCATTCGACCTCGTCATCCCTTGGGGCGCTCTGGTGAACAAACGCTCCCCCAGATACTGGTTAAAGCTTCTTGAGAGAGGATTAGGCAGGCGAGGCTCTTCTTGCGAGAGGATTGGGTTTCACAGGTAGAAGACTTTTTCTAGAAGAGACTTAGAGCCTATTCTCATCTTAGGGACAGCAATAACTATACTACAATTGGGTGGGAGAGGGATGACTGTCAAAAATAAAATAAGATTCACTGGGATGGTCTTTAGAAGGATTAGGAAACAAAGCTGATTTATTCCACGGTATAAACATCTTGTATCTGGAAAATGCACTTGTTGCTTGTTAGTGATTACATAGACTGCACAAAGGATTACATTCATAGCTACAGAGCTCTCTTCCCCACCCTCAGAAATGGTTTCAGGGCCCTCAGTTTGGTTTACTGGAACCAAAAGGCACAGCCTAGACTTGGCTGATATTTGAACCAGTGATAAATAAGACAGCTTGCCCCTTCACAAGTTGTGTTTTGAATGTTAAATTTCACGTACCTCAACTTGTGCATCATCCCACTCATCCAACTGGATAGATTTCAGTTTGCTGACTTGGGGAATACTGCGATGTAATCCGGCACAATTCAAGCAGATGAACACTCCTAGGCTGTAGGATGCCCAGTCTGGGTCTGAAAGCCAAAGGAAAATAGCATTACAATGAACTGGCATACAAAACGTAGCAAGGAGGATGGGGGCGGAAGTGGAATACAAAATAATGCAATCTGGACATCTTCAAGGCTCAAGATACCTTTACAAAAGTGAAGTTCTCATTCTAAAAGCGCTCAATACACATATAAAATGTACATGCAAAAAGCAAACTTGAAAGTCTGACCTTCAAAATGATCAACAGTGCATTTGCAAATATCTGGTTCTCCTTGTGTTTGCACAAAGCTACCTTTGCATGCACTAGGGCAGCAATTGCATGCACAAATTGCGTGAATGCAAATTGCACATCTAATTGCATAAATATCACAAAATTCACTCTCTCTTTATTCTCTGCGTTTGCACAGGAAACAAAGAGACTTTCTACATTTTCTTGATGAACCCACCTCCTGCTAAGAACCTGAGGCACAGTACACAACAATAAAATATATTTAAAAAATTCAAATGAGGAAGTCATAAAAAGCCAGTGAGACATCACGAGAATATAGACGTCTAGCACCGAGGCTCACAGTCACTGACATTACATGACAGGAAAGGCATCTAAGCCAGGAGAGTTTTTCAACCTTCGAGTGGAAGCGAGTTACCCCTGAACATGAACGAGATTGCATTTCCTAAAACAAAGGGTTAAAATAATCTGAAGAGATTAACAGAGAAAAACAACAGCTTCCAGGCTAGGACCCCCACACACCAGCCTCCTCCTGCATCACAAACAATCCCAATACAAGAAGCTTTGGTTGAACTCCGGGTAATAAATGTCAGCTCTCGCTATTCCACCTGAATCTAGGAAGAAAAGTGTTTCCTTCCAAGCAACTAAATCAGTTGCAAAACTGTCATGCAAGTCCACTTTTGCACCTCTATTCCCAATTTAGGGCCTGATCCCACCATATTCCCAGAGTAGCCAGACATCCTTACCCCTGCTGAAGTCCATAGGGGCAGAGATGCACTTTGCACTGGATCAGGCCATCGGTGAATATGGGGGGGAGACACGACACGGCTCTATCACTCTCCTGCACCGTCAGAATTTGTTTATTCTCTTGCAGTAATTATGCTAAACAGTTACTCTACACAGGGCAGTAATTATTTATAACAAGCAAGGGAATACTCTTTCTCCTTATACATATTTAATGGTCCACTTTTATTGCAATTAGTCTGACGGAGCTGAAGGAATCAGCATAAGAAGGCAATGGTTGAGGAGACGCCAGCTACACAGCAACCCTAGTTTTCTCCCGTTGGCTTGGGGGAATTGCTTGGTCTTCTCTTTCAGAATGAACCACATGAACCGCATTCCCTGCCGCACCCCAAAAGACGCACCCTAGGTTAGCGATGGCACCCTGGCAGCTTTGTTATTCAAATCAAGCAATATTAATTGTCGCAGTCAGATCCCATTATGGCCCACTTTGGGGCCCATGCTAGATGGGAACCAAATACTAGGTTATTACTAGTCCCACAGTCAGGAGCAGCTCTGGTCGCACAAGGCTGGCAGCCCCGTGGCTAACAGGGCTCTCTTCATTGTGGAAGGTCTTCCCTCCTAGCGCTGTTCACATGCACTGGGGCACCAGCCACCAAGGCTCAAACTAGGGACAAATCCACCAGCATGAGAGAGACCCCCAGCAGTCGAGCATCTTCCACTCCCATCAAGGTCAACGAGGCACTGGACCTTTTCACAAGCAAGCTCCCCAGCGGGATTCTTCGGTCACCAACACCCGTGCTCCTTTGTTGACTTAAGGGAGTTCATCAGGCTTTACACTGATGGCATTCAGAGAGGAAGCCGTTCCCATGTATTTCTAGCACAAAGAATGTCAGCAAGGATTACATTACAGATGCACCCAGCTGGCATTTAAAATAAAGTATTTTATATGCCCCCACACGCATTTCCACACTCATTCTTTGCATTTCTGCATCTCCCTCCTGGGAATCGCAGAACCTGCCAGTATAATCCAACTTTCTTCTATGCTGCGTTCCAGACCCGGCATGCTTCACACAGCAAAAGGATTTCAAAACGGCTCCCACTCAGCCTCAGACTTCAGGATCTAAGGAGAAACATCGGGCAAGGTCAAAGCATCAGCGCCTCTTATCAAAAAATAAAAAAGCAGAGCTTTGACTTCCACCCAGACAAGGATGGACTTCTGTTTGATGTCAGGATCGAAGAGAGGCATTTCTAACAGCTGTGTGGCATCTAGGGTGGGTATTAGCACAAGTCCCAGTACAATACTAAGATCCACAGTAGCCTGTAAACTCTGTGTACTATTCAAATATTAAACAGCTAAAATAATCTTCCTGCATACTTTCTCTCCAAAATTACCTCCTGCATCAGAAGGGAGGGAGGGGCCCATAGGATAGTAACAAAACTTCATTTTCTCCAGTCCCACATAATTAGATCTATAATTTCCCCTGAATTTGTCTTGGGAAGGAATTAACAAATTGGGAAGAGACTTCACTTTGGCAATAGCAGGCAACAATCCCCAATTAGATCTGGGAGCCCTGATTATTATAAATTAAGTGTGGTACAGCCAAGGTGCAAAACAGGCTCTTTTACAAATGTATGAACATCCTGCAATATAAAAACCAAGGGAAGGGAAAGCATGTGTTTAACAAGAATGAACCTGTCAAGTGCCAACCTCAAAGCGACAATCGGTTCTGTAGTCTCAGTAAAGCAATTCTGTAATGATCTTGCTTCGAGTTTTCTCAAAGAAATGAGATCAGATCAGAGCCGTGTCTATTCCAGCAAAATTTCTAGCAAAGAGCACATCAGTCTGTGCGAGTTTTATCAGAGATAAAACAGCTCATCTCTTTACAAAACAAATGTTATCTTAAAAGACCCTGACGTGTTTGGGCGGAGATGGCAATTTTTATGCTGTCTGGAACTTTTAGGACGTGGGCTGTCAGAATCCCCTTGGAAAAAAAAAGATCCTCAGGCTGCATTAAAATGTTTCAAAGTGAGGAGATGTCACAGTTGACTCTGTCCATTAACTGACTCGAGTCGTTTGGCCTGTCAGTGGTGAAATGCATGATGCTGGAGGACAGAACGAACAAGGGAAGATGCACCACCACATGCAAGATGGGACCCTTTCTTGGGTCTTGGATGTGGGAAAGTAATTTATGGCTCGATTCTCAGTTACGGTAACCATGCTAATCTTTACCAGCTGAACCTCTGGCCCTTGGTCTCGCCACCCTTCCCTCTCCCTCTGTAAAATGGGGACACATTTCTGCTCAGTTTATTTAAATTGTAAGGTTTGGGGGTGGGTTTTTCCCCACTATATGAGTGCAGAACCTCTCACATAATGGGACCTCAGTCTCACTCAAGGCATCTAGGCACTCTCCTAATACAAATAACACATGCTTTGAACCAAACTATGGTCCTTCGTCAAACAAAAACCCTACTGAATTCAGCGGCAGCTGTGTTTAATTACTGATGCAGAGTTGGGGCCATTCAGAAGCACCATGTTTCTATTTCAGAAGAGCATCGTGGCAATCATGTGCGGGGCAGCAGGACCCAATATTTCAGAAGGCCAGTACATGCTCACCGCCAGCTCGGCCAGCTGTCTTCCTGCCTGCCACCTTCCTCACGGCGCTGCTCGCTCTAGCCTACAGCAGAGCTGATGTTGCTCTCAATTCACATCCCCAGAGCAAGCTAAGCTTTCGCACTCTACACTGAAAGAGCCATATTTTACTCCGCTGACCAGGCTTGCCAAGGCTAAAGCAAGCCTCATTTTTAAGGCAGGGTGGGTCTCGCTAACCCTACAGCTACAGCAAATGGTGAATTGCTATCGGCTCATCCCATTTTAAAATATTTTAGTTACTCCTCAGTGCAGACTCATGTGGGGCCAGGGGCGTACGTGCATGGACGTTTGCCTTGGGCTTTGCACTGACAGCTGCAGTCCCAGCCCGACAACTTGGGGATTGTGTTTAGTGCCAACAGGATAACTGGAAAAAAGGATAGCTCAAAATGTGTCAAGAGTGAAATTAATCCCTTGGAAACCAAGAAGAGATTAGAACAGTTAAGAATTAAAATCCAAACCAACTGATTTACCATTTGAAACCCTCAGTAGCTCACTAGTGCGTTCTCTTTTCCTCTCCATCTCCCACATGTCAACGGGCCTCCACCTCTCCACCGCCCCGTTCTCCTGTGTCGTGCCACTATGCCATTCAATCACTTCTACCGATATCATTATTGTTAGACAAAATGTGTCGGCAAATCACACACACACACAAATTCAACTGGATTCAGTCACAGGTCCCAAAAGAGTGCAAGCAGGACTGGTCCCCAATTCTGTAACTATAGCTGCTTATAGGTGTTAAACCAAAAAAACCCCTAATGCACTGCACTTTACTAGAAGAAGCAGCACGTTAGTTGGACCTAGCACGACATCTGTATAGATTAGGTGCTGCAGGAGGGCTATTAGATAAAAGCGCCCAAAAAGTCCCACTAAAGTGCCCGATCCATACAGACGTCAGGCAACCTGGGTCCAAATAACACAACATCTCTTCTGAGCATGCACTGGGCCCGCCGTGGGAGCGCACCAAGTTTAAAATTAAAGCGCTGTTTTGGGGTGGGTTGGTTTTTTTTTTAACATCTGTAAGCAGCCTAAGGTAAAATTTGGTTAATGCTTCACGTCAAGAATGGCTTCACTCCAAGTAATGACAACTAATTATCTGTGAGCGACTAATCAACAGAAGCTGGCCATCTTCGCTTTAGAAAAAAAGATGTACTTTGCATGCCACAGAGACATGATCAAGAATGTTTTTTCACATTTATAAACAAAGAAAGAATATATTACAAATAGTCCAAGCTAATTAGTCGGGAGCAAATTCCATTGTGATTTAATGTGTGTGCACTTTTGGAAGTAACTAAATGATGAATTATTCCAAGCATATTGTATACAAATCAATGGGACTCTGGCAGGGATTTCAGGCACTCAGATCCAGTGTTTCTCAACCAGGGTGCTGCAGCACACCCTGGGGTGCC